CCTACCATAATGCCCCAAGACTCTGCCAGACTGAATCATGATAGTCTTCTTGGACCAACTACTCTCCATCAAATGGCATTCTATTTACATGGAATGAACAGCTACTATGTACCCAGGCCTGTGTCAGGTGTTAATGGGAAAGAGGAAGGATGATAAAGCCCCACTCCCTTCCCTATTCACTTCAATAGAGAGGCTTGCTTCACATCTGAAAAGGGAGCTGATGAACAGGCTATGGAAAAAGGCAGATACTAACATATCTTGGAGGCTTCCTGGAGTAAGTATGGGTTTAAGGAGTACTTGGGAAGGGGAGGTAGAATTTAAATCATGGGGGAGACAGAAGGCATTACAGACCTAGGCAGGGTGGTGGAGATGATCATGTGCAAGACCAGTGTAATAAAAAGCCTGATGGAAGTGAGAGTTAGTGTGGTGGAACTGGAGGTAAAGTTGAAGATATAGGGAAAATTGTTAATGCCTGACTTATTCTGTCAGCCATGAGTTTGCCAATGCAGGTGTGTGAGGAGGCTATAAGCTGTGTTTTAGGAAGACAAATCTGGCCAAATACGTGGAAAACACCTGAAAGCATATGGAACAAAAAGAACTAATAACATTACCTACGGTATTTAATTTCATGTTCACTCTATCCCTGTGAGATGAGTACTATTTTTTTTATTTCCCAAAAATTGAGGCTCAGAAAAATTAGGTCACTTACCCAAGGTCACCTGGATGGTAAACTACTCTGGAGAGATTGCAACCCAGGAGTGTTTCTAAAGCCTCTGCTCTGAATAACCCATGATGGAGTGAGAAAAAAAGGAATAATTATAATAATGATAACAGCCACATTGAGTATTAAGTATGTGTCAGGCTGAACGATCTTTCTTTATAGTTTTTCATTAAATCTTCACTGCAACCCTGTGAGGTATGAGGAAATGAGAAGTTCCTTAGTTCCTAAAACTAAGAAATGAGAGATTAAGTCATTTGCCCCAGGCCACACAAAGAAGTGTTGAAACTGGGACACACACCCAGGTTTATTTTTAGAACCCAAGCTTTTTCACTTTAAGGTCTCCTACAGAATTATAAACATTCGGTGATAAGAACCTGAGGAAGAGTGGTAGGTAGCTGAACCACTCTATCGCAATGGCTAGTGAGGACAGAATCAAGAGCTGTCATGAAGGGAGCACTGAAAGCAATTTGGCTGCCTTCATTTTGTAGTCGGGAGGCAGTGCCATTGACGGATGAGGGCCAACCCTAGAGTGCTGGTTATGGCTATGGTAGAGACTTGCTCAGGTTGTGGCACCAGTTGCCCATTTCTATTGGTCCCTTCTGCAATCTGCCTAACTTTGCAGCAGCACACGGGCCCCTAAGAGAGACACCTGGAAGAACTGCCAAATGGACTATACCCTTCACACACCTGTATTCTAAAATCTCATGGTGTTGAATAAAACACTGAATTCCAGTCTCAGATCTGTTACTCACTAGTTATTTGATAAATCACTTAATTTCTCTGTGCCTTAGATTCCTGCTCATCTTTATTGTTTTTAATTTTTATTTATTGAGTTGAGAGAGAGAGAGAGAGAAATATGTTGTTCCACTTGTTTATACATTCATTGGTTGCTTTCTGTGTGTGCCCTGACTGGAGATCATACCCGCAACTTTGGCATATCAGGATGGTGTTCTACGAACTGAGCTACCTGCCCAGGGCCTTCTGCTCCTCTTTAAATGGGAGCAATAATAGTACCCATCTCATAGCATTTTCATAAGGAATCAATGAAATAATAAAGAAAGTGCTTAGCACAGTGCCTGGCATATTGTAAGCACTCAATTAATGTTACTTATTTTTGTTGTAGTGGTGGTTATTCTTATTAGTTTGTCAGTACCTACCTCCCAGGGATATAGCTGCCACTAATTATCAGTATCTCTTATTTACTTAGGCAAGATTATCAGGATGCCAAGACCCAAAAGAGAAGAGAAGGTACTGAAAAACTCATCATCACTGTGTCTTCCTATGGCTTCAGGTCAGGCTGAGTAAGGAGGCTGAGTCAGAGATGAGGGGCTGGAGAGGCTGGCTCAAGGAGCCAGGGATAAGGCTGACTGGATTAAATGGGTCAGGGAAGGAGCTTGGCTAGCAATGACCTTCTCAGGCATCCTCCCTCCCATCCTTCCTGCTTCCTTAGAGCTCTGTTTTTCTAGGCTCCTACCATCCAAATGAGGAGCAAATGGGGAGCTGCAAGGAGCTCTGCCAAGAGGGTCCCATACCACATGGGCCACACCTCTGACTCAGATGGTAGGCCAAGAGTCAGAGGGTGCAAGAGGAGAGCTGACCCAGCAATAGACTGTTTTCTATAAGAGACCCCCATCCCAAGAACCCAAAGGGGTCCAATTCTTGGCACATTTGGGACATTTGGACTTGAGAGCAGAGATTTCCATCACCATTTGCTATTTCTGTTTTAGGGACAGGCTTGGGTTGGGTAGAGATACTTCCCCTTTTCTCCTTTCTCAGAGCAGATCCTGGCTTGCTTCTTGCCTCCACCTGGCCCCCATACTGGCTTGTTAGGCCTCTTGTCCCCAACCACAGAGGTGCTAGCTTAAAAGGTAGAGGATGGGGGGGGAAGAATAAGATTTCCTTTTGTGAGGTGAGAGCAGAACCTGTTCTGGGGCTTTTGAGAGCCTGGCATTTGAGAGCCTTCTCCAACTGTTTCTTGCTGGCCTAGCCTCTCACTGTTCCCACTGTTCCCCACCTTTCTCACTGGCCTCCAGTTACAGTGCAGTGCAGTGTAGTGCAGTGATTGAGAACAGAGGGACTACCTGAGTTCAAATCCCAACCTTGTCAGTTTTAGCTCTGTGACCTTGGGCAAGTATCCTAACCTCATGTGTAAAATGAGGCTTGTAATAGTATCTTCCTCAGAGGATTGTTTGTGAGACAAATTAATCCATGCAAAATGCTTAGAACAGTGCCTGGTACATAAATGTTTAACAAATGTTCTCTCCTCTTACTATCTGCTTCTGTGCCAGTTTTCCCTGCCAAGATTACGTTTCCCTTTCCCACAACCTACTTAAGCCCAACTCAGCTCAGTCACCCCCTCCTCCATGAGATCTCCCTGGCATTACACACTTTGCTGACCTCTGTTATACTCTTCAATGAAACTAGACCCATTTTAATAGCGAGGACTGTGACATGAACAGCACTAACTAAATGATTCACAAAATAACATCTAGTCCTCTTGTAGCAGTCAAATTTTGCAAATGGAACCCATAGTAAGAAATATATTTTAAGAGCATTTGGGATCTTGCTCCTTGGCAGATGTCATCAGTTTGGCTCAAATAAATTATTGTAAAATTTTTTTAAAAAGAAATAGATTTTACAGCATGTCTTAATACAGGACTTTACATATATTTAAATCTAGAGCTAGATATATGACTAAAACAAAGAACAATAAGTGTTCTTACCACATGTGATCCATTCCTTTATTTGCTGTTTATTCATTTTGTTAAATGCTCTTTGTTTTGTTAAATGCTTTTGTTAAATCAACCCACTAAGTTGATTTGAAGCCCTGTCCTTAGTTATCACCTACAGCATTCTCTGTGATAAGCCCTGTACAGTTTGGGCTTAAGACTTTCAAAGGCCCTAAATCCCAAAAAGATTACAGGTAAAAAGCCATGGCCTGTTTACAGAGTGCAGGTCAAGTCAAGAGTAGCTGCAGTGTAGGATGTGTGGAAGGCACTGGAGGAAAAAACCTGGAGAGGCAAGCTGGGCTTAGGCAGCAAAAGGCTTTAATTGCCTCACAAAGGAGTTTGAACATTTCCTATTGGCAATTAGGACTCACTGGAAGATTTTAAGTACAGGAGGACTCTGTTTACTTTTTAAAAAGATCACTGGAGTGGCTGTGAAGATGGATCAGAAAGGCTAAGTCAAGGATGGGGGAACCTATCTGGAAGCTGTTTCAGGCATCCAGGTGAGAGAGAACAGATGAGGCCATAATAGAAGAAACAACTGGGATAATGGGAAGCACAAAGTTGACAAATGTAAGCAATGGTGAAGACTACAACCAATAGGGTTTGGTGGTTAAAGTTTTTAGCTTAAATAACTGGTCCAATATGCTAGTTACCAAGGCAGGTACAGAGGAGGTTTGCACAGGAAAGAAATGGTTCCGTTTTGTAATGAGTCAGATACCTATAAGAAAAATTTCAGGTTGGAAACATAATTCTCAATGTTTTATTCAATACATGTTCATGAGACTGACATAAATAAACTCACATTTTATTTTGAAATTAAAGAAATAAAGTAACATCTACCATTGTCATTATTTTTAAAAAGAGAATATTTTGCCATAAAAAATGGGGAGAGTATAATCTCAGAATAAAGGGAAGTCCTTTATGGTTGAATACATTTAGATTATTGAAAAACTCTACATTTGATGTTTTTCCCATTTTGCTGTTAGCTATTGAAAACATTACTATAATTGAGAACCACAGGTTTGAAGAATGGGCAGAGGAAGAGAAGTCAGCAAATGAGTCAAGAGGAAGGGTTCTGGAATTAGGAGAAAAACCAAGAGAGAGTTATCATGGAGGTCCAGAGAAGAAAGAGAATTTCAGAAATGAGGACTTGGCCAACAGTGTCTCTTGCCACCCAGAGTTCAAAGAGATCATTGAATTTGGCAATTAGGAGGTCATTGGTGACCTTTGGAAGTGCCCTTTCACTAGGAAGATGGGGCTGGGGCCAAATTGCAGTACGCTGAGCTGTGAATGAGAAGTTGGGAAAACTGGCCACTTAAACTTTAGATTCTTCTTTCAACAAAGTTGAGGGTAAAGGAAAGAAAGAGAAGGAAGAAGAGAGGAGGGGAGAGAGAAAGATTCAGGGAGAGAAAAAGAGCAAGTTGTACAAGCAAGAAAACACATCTGAGGAGGGAAGGGGCTTGTTTTGTTAGAAAAGAGAAACAGGCACTTTATAATCAGAAGAGAAAGAGCTAGTATAAAAAAGCTGAACTTTCCTGAAGAGAAGGAGCATGTCTGAACAAAGGGCCCAGACAAAAAGGGTGGATGATGCCAAGGCCCAGAGGAAGAGATTATCCTTTAACAAGAGGGGTACCTTGTTCCCTGAGAAGGGAGGGCTGGAGGGGAAGGAAGTTGGAAAGGTAAGCCAATTTTGGGGGGTAGGGCAGAGCACTGAGGTAATTCATGCTTGAAGACCTCTGTTTTCTCAGGAAAGTGGGCAGAGAGGTTGCTTCATGCAGGGAGGAGGTGGGGCAGGGACATGGTAAGGAGCTGAAGAAAGCCTGGAATATGGCCCATGGAAACATAACTGCTGGAGCTGGGGATTTGATAAGGGAACATACTCAAGGATAGCTGAGGGGTACTAGGGCCCAGCTGAGGTTGACTGAGTCTGTCTTCCCCTGTGTGGGTCTTCTCTCCCTCCCTAGGCTGTAAGTACCTTATGACAGGGTCTGCAGCTCATTTTTGTTTATAGTCCATTCCCTGGCCAGGAAATGACCAGCAGAAATCTGTCCCAGAAGAGATACCCAGTCCTCATAGGATTTGGCCAAGTAATCACTGACAAAACTCAGAAGCATTATAGGCTGTCAGAGGAAACAGGTAGGATCATAATTGCCCTGACAAAAAGTTTTTTACTTTGGTTGTCCCAGACCTTTCCTACAACCCTGTAAGCCACCTTACTCATGTTCTTTGCTAAATGCAAAGGAGAACAGCCAGGACCCTAACTCTGCCCAGTAACATTTGCAGGCTTTAAATACTTTAGGCTAGGGAGGCCAACAAGAGAGGCCAGTGAGTACATCTCCTACAAGCTGAATGTGGCTGAGGCAATTCTTGGAAAGTAGCAAGGTCAGAGCAGTTGTGTAGAGAGAACTAAGGACTTCAGAGACAGGCCTGAAGGCTGCCTGGGCTCCAAGAAAGCATGCTGGGGAGCTGGCGTGAGGAGAACCTTGAGGACTGTTTGCTCAGGTGAGTGAAGGTTGTGGACATCCCCAATCATGAACGACTGTGGCTGAATGAACACAAATTCAAGGTGGGAGGTGGCATGGGTAAGCCTGGTTGGGCATGAGCCCTTGGCTCTGGAGCAGTGTTTACCTCTTCTCCCTTTTCCTCTCCCTCCTGCCTGTTTTCAGAGACCATGGCCACCTAGAGGTCAAAAAGTTCCCAGGGTGTGACAATAGGTCTGTTTCTTTCCCCTCATTTGCTTGCCTTCCAGCCCAATCTCTTTAACCTGGCTTCCTCTCTCAGCCTCCCTCTTCATTTGAGTCAATGATACAGTGCAAGCAAATTCTCATCTGGAGGTTAATTCTGGAGGTTTAACTCTCAGAGATTAACAGAAACTTGGGATCCAGCAGCCTTCATTTTCTCCCCAAAGATATTCCTCTCCAGGATCTAGGATCCAGGATCCAATATGCACTTACACAGTTCAGGGACAGAGAGTTTATCCCATTTCACCACATGTAATAAACTTCTGTTTATTAAGGGCCAGTACAGTGCCAGGTCCTTGGGTTAAGTGGTGGCTGGATTAGAAAATTTTCCTTTGATTGAGCCAAAATGTGTCTCCTGGTAGTTTCCACTTCTGGGCCTCTTCCTTATCCTCTGAAGTCATACAGAACAAGTATAATCCCATCACTGTCTAATCCTCAGGTATTTGTAAATGGCTACCATTTTCCCAAGAATTTTCTCCTCTCTGTGGATGAGCATTTGTTTCTTTTTATTTTTATGTGTCATTACTTTTTATTACCCAAATAATATATCTTGTGGAACTTTTCAGAGAATTCAGAAAAACATAAAGGAAGTAAAGATCTACCATAATTGTACTCCCAGAACCAACCACTGTGACATTCCTCTTTCTTTTAACCAGTCTTTTTATTCCCTGCATACTGTATATTCTACACTTTTTTCTTACCAAAATGGGATTCTCCTCTAAGTTATATTGTAGAGGCTTCTTTTTTCACTCTTCAACACATTAACTCTCCCCTAATCTCCTACCAAGCCAATTTTAACACTAAATCTTATAACTGTTTGATGATTTATTTAACCATCTTTCTAAAATGAGATATTTAGGTTGCTTCCAATTTTCCTTTGCTGTAAAGAACACAGGGGGCTGGAATTTGAAGTGGGGTAAGTGAACAGAGAAAAGAGGAGCCCTCGAATCAAATTATTTGTCCAGTTTTAGCATCTGATTTTTTTTCATTTTCTCTGTAATTATACTTCCTAGAACATGATTGTGAGTGCCTGATGAGTATTGGTTGTGAGGACTTACCCTAATTAATCTAACAATTTCCTATTATTGGACATTATTGGACATTCTAATTTTTTGACCATTACAAACCCAACTGTGATGAACACCCAAGAAGCTATATTGGCACTGGTGCTGGACATTGAGGTCAGGAAGAATATTTTCGAGATTTCTAATACATAAAGAGCCTGCTAGTAGTTGTAACTGGAAGCTTTTTGTCAAAAGCCCAGAGGACTGGCTAAGGCCAAGAACTGTGCTCAAGCCTCCGGGCTTGCTTGGGGTCAGTTCCCATTTACCCAGCTCCTGTCACAGTGTTCAGGCTGCAGGGCCTTTTGGGACCACTGAGCTCAATGCCTCCTCTCACACATGAAGAAGTGAAGCCCTGGGGCCAGGGATGGTCCTTTGGCAGTTTAGCAGCTGTGCAAAACTCTGCCACCCCAGCACCCTGGGCCCTGGACTAGAAGTTTTTGTAATCTTCCAGGAGACACTTTTTGTAGTTAGAAGATTTGTAATCTGACCTGGAAGCCCTGACAATGCTGCCTGCATTCCCTTAGCTCTCTTACTGAACCACTTACTGCTGAGGCTAGAAAGGGGATTCAGGCTCTTTTGCAAACGAACTGACCAGTAAAGGGGAGGGCATTGAAAGACTTGAGGTTTCCCCACAGGCAACTAGGTCTGCTCCACCTAGAACCTCCTTTTTTCCTAACCCAGGTGCATGATTAATGGCAATCACCCTATATCGGACCTGCATGGCAAATATATTTTGGGTTTGAGCTGAAATAATGGGAAAGTTCTTCATTTTCCTTAGCCAAGTCAGCTATCCTTCTTTTTGGGAATGAGCTGTGGTAAAGGTCTGTCTGACCTGTTGTGCCTCAATCCTTTCTGTGGTTTCAGGTACTAATGAGCTTTCCACCTTTCCCTCCTCCTGCCAGTGCCCGGGGAATTCACACAAATGGTGTGTGATTTGCCCCTTCTGTGTTTTCCTTTCTGACTTGGAGGTAAAGGTAACCTCTCATCCCTCACTGATTCTCTGTTTATTGAATTGGAAGAGATTTCACACCCAGGAACCCAGCTCTCCTTCCTTAAACACCTTTCTTCAATCTTCACTCCCCTCAAGTCCCCTGCCTCTGTACTTCCCTGAATAATTTATGAGTCCAGGCAGGTCTTATAGAGGGTCTCCCAGGAAGAGCCAAGAGTACAGCAGATTCTGAAAAATAGGAGCCTTCACAGTTTGCCTGGTCTTGACAGCCTAAGGATGGATCCTTCTGTTCCAACTGCCTGCGGCTGCCCCTGTCCAACACCTACCCCTTAAGTGTGGCTCCAGCTCTACCACAGGCCTCCCTAGCACTCCCTGGCCTGTTAAACCCATCGCCCCTTCCCTTCCCTGGACAAGAAGTAGATGGGAGTGAAAGGTAAGTGGAACTTGGTCTTTGGCAACCTGAACTCTGGTTTAGTGGGTTTCCTGGGAAAGGCAGGAAAATGAGATGTCCAAGATGTCCTGTTCTCTGTGAAGGTAAAGGCCTTTCCCTTTAAAGGCCTCATAGCTCTCATAAATTGTCCCTTCCACATCTTGGGCTGGAATATCTCAACTGACTTTTCATCTAATCCCTCTGGGTGACAGGAGGAGATCTGGGGATATGGTCATTGCCGAAGCTGAAAGCTGAGCAGCCAAGCCCTCATAGGCAAAGTTGCTCGGTCCACTGAGAGGTACCCAGGAGAATGCTATGAAGCCTAGGTTGAACATGACTAGACTGATGGTACAGAGGAGGAAAAGAGGGTAAAGTCCCAAGAGGCCTTTGACTGGAGGACTATCTCTTTCCTGATCACACTATAAGATTTCCATTTGCTTTTCCCCTACTTCTGGAAGTCTATTGCAGAAGGAGTTGGTCCAGGAATATTTCTGGCCACTTTCTCCAGCCCAGGAAGATAGTAAGAGTCTGACCTTTGCTTCTTGGACCAGGAGGTAGAGGGCAAGATATTCTCCACCCAGCCTTTATTCATTCCTCCAAACATTTAAGTTCAACAGATATTTACTGAAATGCTTCTGTGTACTAGGCATTGTGCTAGGTGTTGGGGATCCAGATATGATGAAACATAAATCTGCCCTTAAGAAGCTCAAAGGCAAGTAAACAATTACAAAACTGTGATAAGAGCAATGACAACATTGTTAAAGCAGAGAGGAGAGGCGTCTGTCCTGACCTGGGCTTAGGGTCCTTAGGAAAGGCTTCCTGAAGTATATGGCATTCAAACCAAGTGTTTTTGGAGAACTTTTTGTTATCTCAGGTGGTCCACATTCCAGTCTCCTTCCTACACTGATGGATCTCTCCTTTATGTCCTAGAGGGGCTTGTCTTTGGAGGCCCTGGCTGTGATCCCCCAAGGCAGGTGAGGAAATGTATGGATTTGGTGAGTTTGAGACCCTATTATATATATTCACATGTAGCCATGTGTGTTCACACTGACCAGGTCCCTTTCCAGAGAACCCTTAGGAAACCATCTTCACACCCTTGATTATATTTGATTCTCACAACAGCTCTAGGAGGAAGGCAGACCTGAGTTTTCTGTGCAATTTAAAGATAAAGAGACTGAGGCCCAGAGTAGGCCCTAAAACTAGGCTACGTTACAGCTGGTTGTTACAGAGTTTGAGCAGGCCCTAAAACTAGGCTATGTTACAGCTGCTGCTAGAATCCTTGTCTTCTGGCACCTAGCCCCAGTATCTTCCCTACCCCGAACCCCACATCTTTGCTGCTCCAGTAGAACTCTGTTCTCTGGACAGTCTCCAAATAGGTGTTAGAACAGGGGCAGGAAAGTGAAGAACCCCCAGGACTCTGTCCATTTATTTTTCAACCAGAACCAGAACAAACCCCTTTTGGGGCAGTGGGGGCAGGGGCTGGACCCCAGAGGTGTCTAAGGTCTCTTTCTAGATCATCTTACCTACAGGCTTCTGACTGCTGATACAGAGAAAGAAGGCAGTTATTTGGACATGTACTTTGGGCTACATGCTAGCTTTTGCTTTGAACAGGCCACTGGTGGGGCAACAAATGCTGAGGTCACCAAAGTTGACTTCAAGTTTCATTATCCTGTCAGGTAAGCTTCTGGCACCAGACTCAGAACTTGACATAGGTTCATTAGCTCTTTAAATCCTCATAACAGCCTTGTGAAGCAGGAGGAGGGAGGCACTGCTGTGATCACTCTTTCATAGGCCAGAAAACTGAAGTCCAGAGTGATTAGGGACTTTGCCAAGGTTGCCTTACCTGGAGGCATTGTCAATGACTCCCTAAGAATCAGCCCCTATGGATAGGTTAGTGAAAGAAGATTTAGTAGGAGTTGGGGGTTATAGGAGAAATCTAGAGAATTGTTGGCTAGAGGCTTTCTGAGATGGGGAAGGGATCAGTGTCAGAACTGACAGACGCTGGAGTTGGGGCTCCTCACTGTTATAAGCCCACCATATGTTATCTTCCTGCCTGGGGCCCTTTTGTAGCAATTCAGAAAATTTTTATTACCAAGTTCTCTTTCTTCCTTTCTCAGACCATTACTACGGCTAGGACAAGGAGTTTAGGGGCTATCTTCTTTAGTGGTCCTACTGACCCTTCTGCACATAAAGACCTATCTAAGTTAGACCTACCTAAGCAATGTTTCTTCTCTGTCCACAGGCTCTTCTGGCCCAAATCCTTTGACTTCCTGTACTGGGGAAATTTTACTACAGAACTTACCTATCCAGGCAAACATCAATCTGTATGAAGATTCAGACAGTAAAGAAGAAGAGGATGAGAAAGAAGAAGAAGAGGAAAAGGAAGAAGAAAAGTAGGAAAAAAAGGAGGGAGATGAAAAGAGGCCAGAAGGGTATGTGAGGATACCAGGATCAGCACTACACAGAATCACAGCTCATCCTTGTCCCCATTCCTGACCTGTCCAAACTGAGCCAAGGCCTGATTAGGGTTCCATATGCCTGGCAAGGCTCCACAGCATCAATTAGCCAGGAATCTCCAGGCGCAACTCTTTGGATTGAAAGTTGGGTTTCTGAGTCACTAGTTTACCCTGGCTATATCCAACTGAACTGTCAGCCAAGGCCTCTGGCTTCTCATTGTCTGGGTTGTTGTTATGTTGATAGTAGGAGGGTTCTAAGAGCTCTAGGGGAGGAAGACCAGATTTCTGAAGCCCCCAGGAAGCAAATAAGGACAAAGCATGCCCATGTAGAGTGGGGAACAGTCACTCTTTGGGGCTCTGTGACTCTTCAGCCTTCTAGGTGGCCACATAGTCCTATTTTGCCATGGAAAAACTGACTTGTGGCTTTACACTCAGGTTTAGCAACACCGGATCCAAGCAAAGTTGGGATACTTTTCTGATGATCTTTGCAGCAAGAGGAGGGGATTCTAGATAATCAGCTTGCTTTGGGGACCTCCCTTCATTCTGGCTGCCATCCACTGGGGTCTCTGTTGGCATGAAATGAATCAGGAGAAAGATAAACTAGATGATGTTTTCTTTTTTCCTGGAACTGTGCTGATTTCTTAACTGAACTCTGCCCATGCTGTGAAGCCATGTGCACAGGGTCAGAGACCAGCTCAAGGCCAATAAATTGCTCTATCTGATGTCAGTTTACAGATGGGGATATAGGGCCAGATACCCAGCACAGGGCCAGCCCTATCTGCCAACTTGTGAAATCAGGCTAGATTAAACTTCAAAGACACTTTAGAAAGGGGGGCAAAAAGGCTCCAAAAGTGTAGCTTGAAAATTGGTAGTGGGGCTATGGGTTGGGATCAGGAATGAGAGGTGTAGCCTTAGTTTAGCCTTTGAAATGAGTGTGTGCATAAGGGGAGGGGAGCTTCAGGAGGGGTACTCAGGCCTATCAGTTTTACTGCCACACTCAGGCCCTCATGCCTTACTCCTGCCCCAAATACTCATCAACTAATTTTCACGCCTCCATCATATTCCTCTTAAATTCATCCTCCACAGTGGCCACCAGATCAGATCATGTTGTGCCCCTGCTTAAAGCTCTACTGTGGTTCTTCATTACCTCACCAACAGTTGAAATTATCCTTTCCTTTTAAATCATAGATCCTCTTAAAACTCTGTGGCTTCTCTACTCCTATATTCACAAATCAAGCCCTTAGGTTGATATCCCAAGGTGTCCAATTTTTTGGTTGTTGACTAGCTCTCCTTTTTTAAAATTTGTTTTTATTAAAATATAGTTGATATACAATATTATATTATTTTCAGGTATACAAAATAGTGATTTCTCATTTATCTGCCTTACATTGTGATTGCCCCAATAAGTCTAGTACCATCTGACACCATACAAAGTTAATGTGATATTATTGACTATTTTCCTTATGCTGTACATTATATGCTATGGCTTATTTTATAACTGGAAGTTTGTGCCTCTTATTCCCCTTCACTTGCCTGTCTCTTCAGATTCATCTCTCAATACTTGAAGCTTACACTACCTGTCCTTGAATGTGTCATGCTTTCTAATATCTCTGTAGTTTTAAATCCCTGTATGGAATGCTCTTCCACCTTTACATGTCTGATAAATTTCCATTCATATAATAAGACTATCTCAGACACATTTCCTATGAGCAACCTCCCAGACGCCTGAGTCCAGGTTGGATGCCCCAATTCAATGCCTCCCCTACCATAGCATTTGCCCCCTTTTATGCAGTAAGATGGGACTGTATTTTATTATCTAGGCATGACTGCATTGCATAGCACACTACCAAACACAAAGCAGGCACTCAGGAAATGTCGAAGAAACAAAGATTCTCTGGTCTTCTTAAAGCAGTTCTTGGCAGAACTGCCTCTGTCCCTCTACCCCACCCCCCACCTTTCTGGCTTCCAATATCTTTGCTTAGCTTCAAAATAGACAGAGTAACACCATCTGATTCAAGAACAAAATGCTGGCCATCTGTATTTCCCTCTTTGATCAATTTGTGACAGGCTACTTTAGTTCTCAGCCCTGCTGAAACTTCCCTAAATTGGCCTTGACCAAGCAACCAAACACACACTGATGCCATCTATTGGTCAAAATTTAACCTTGTTCCTTAATACTGTGAAGCAGTTGAACTTAGACTGCTATAATACCACTCATAAATCCATTGTTTGTGCTTTTAAGTAAAGTGAAATCTACCATGTGTGAGCTGTATGACCTTGGGCAAGTTACTTTTCCACTCTCAGCCCCAGTCTCATCTGTCAATGGTTACTCATTTGACAAGTTACTTTTCCACTCTCAGCCCCAGTCTAATCTGTCAAATGGTTCTTCTCAGGACTGGTGTGGGAATTTAATGTAAAGTACTTACATAGCCACAGGCACTTAGTAAAACAGTCAATAACTGGTTGTAGTCATAGTTGTAGTAGGTTTTTTATTAATTTCATAACAGAAATGAACTTACAGGCTCAAGTCAGCTAATGACTGGTTTAGTCAACAAATGACTGATTTGTCACTTATGTCCACCTGATCTCTCTGGCACTGACTTTACTAGTCAAAGCATCTTTGCAGTGTTTATCCCTCATTAAAAAAGAAACCACAAAACAAAGGCCAAATGCAGCTTCTTGGGACAGAGATTTCAAAATTTTCCTGTGTTTTGCAGAATCACCCTTCTTTTGCATTGAATGCAGAAGCCCAATACAGAAACTAAATAGAGCTGGACATGTCTTGGTGGAAGCCACAATGGTTGGGGGGTGCAGAATTCCTCTCTCTTGGTGTCCTCTCTCTTGTGTGCTATATCTCTTTACCCCCTTCCCTGAGGCACTGCAAGGATTCCTAGATTGTGGGGAGGATTATTTGAAAGCCATTGTCCCAAGGGTTAAAATAAGATTGATTTGAAGTCTAATGGGGATTATTATTTTAACATGTTCAGTGTTCTGTTTAAAATCCTTGTTTTAGGTTTTAGGTCCTAAGTTCCCAGCATTTCATAGCTCAAAAATTGCTCCAGTCCTCTTTTGCACATATGGTTGCTAAGTAATTGGAATTCACTGTTCTGACTAATCAGAGCCCAGTATGAGTTACTTTGTGCTGGGTGTATCCAGTTCTTGTAATAAACTTCAAAAACAGTTCAGAAACTCAGGAGAAAAATCTCTGTGCAAAACCTACAGTCCTTCCTCTGGCTCCACCCTAGCTGGCCCATCTTAGTGTCTCATACTTCCCTATCCCAGCACTGATGTCTCCTGTGTACCCCACCCCATGGCAACAGAGAGAGGGCACATCGGTTGTGCATGAGGTTGCATTTGAACTGAACCTTGAAGGATGAACCCAGCTAGAGATGGAGGGAGAATACTTTCCAGAAAGAGACAGCAATATGGATTCTTTCATTAACCAAATATTTATTGAGCACCTACTCTGTTCCAGGAATTAATATTGTAATGATTAAGATCATGGGCTTTGGAGGCAGAAGCATTTGGGTTCAAATCCCATATTTGTCACATGCTGGCTGTATTGATAGGCCCACTCCCTTTTGGTGTTAAGATCAGTTCTCTGTTCTCAACCCTCTCACTACTACCTCTGTAGTCCCTTATTATATCACACACACACACACACACACACACACTACACATGCTCATTAAAAGTTGCCTATTCTCTGTCTCTGAGCAAGAAAAGCCCTATTACCTACCTCAGTGGGTGGTACCAACCCTAACCTCTCATTCCTGCCCCCAGTTGTGCCTGTGTGGTTATCTAGTGGGAATTTTGTCTCCTTCTACCCCAGGTCCCTGTTGCAAAATGGTTACCAATCCTCTGCCCAAACAAGATTGTTAGGTAGCCTGAGTTCACTGTCTTGACCTGTCAGGGGCCTGGTATCGGTTATTGTGTTTTGGTTTACTGCCAGCTGGCAATCCTTGTAGCAACCTCCAGGCGAGCACACCCAAGTACAAAAACCTGAGTGCTCAGTAAGTGGTAGCCACAATAATCTTTGCCAGACATGTGCTACTCATAATACAGCCAGGATCCTCTATGTACTATAATCACAACAATTCAAAAAGAAAGGCACAATTATTATATCAATTTATGAATGAGAAAAATAAGAGCAAGGTTCTTGTACCTGGGTTTGTGTGCTTGCCTGGAGGTTGCTACAAGCCTTTCCAGCTGGGGGTAAACCAAGAACACAGTAACACTAGACCCATGAGAGGACAGAACAGTGAATGTGGGCTACTATTTTTAAAACAGAGGACTGGGGAGGACAGAAGACAAACTTCCCACTTGATAACCACACAGTTGGGGTAGAGGGGTAAGAGGTGGTAACACCCACTAAGGCGGAAGAGGGGGCTTTCCCTGCCCAGAGACTAGGCAACATGGTGACTAGGAGGATAAGAGTTATAATAGCTGATAATTATAAAATTCTTACCATAGACTTGGATGCATGGGTAGATACCTTACATCGATTAACTCCTTTAATATAACAACCCTGAGACTTCTGGCCCAGATGGAGGCATAGGTAGACACACTGTGCTTTCTCCCACAACCAAGATAAGGTCAGCAACAATTTAGAAACAAGGTAACAACCAGATCTGACAGAAAATTGAACTGTATGGAAGTCAGAAAACTAAGGAGTTAAAAATATACACATTCATCCAGAGCAGTAGGAAGGGCAGACTTGGGCAGCTGGGCAGAGAGGACTCGAGGCACAAAAAGTGGTGCCACCAGGACGTAAGGCATCCTGAGCGCAAGACTGCAGTGGGCAGACCCTGGGTGCGCAGGCAGCTGGCAGACCCAGCAAGGTGGCAATTGTAAAGTGAGGCACTGTAAAGAAGGCACCTTGCTGTCTGGGCAATCCCACACTTGCATGCAGAAAAACCAGGCGACAT